AACAGCAATTATTATATGATGCAATCAAACTTATAGCAAAATGTGGTAGTTCTGTATGTTGTTTCAGGGTTGGCATCATCTGAGGTCCTCTGAGGTGTTGGCATTATCTCTTCTCAGGTGTTCTGGATCCAGACTGAAGCTTGTGTAAATCCTAGTTACCACGGGATGTCAATCTCAGCAGAAACAGAGAAACAAATAGAGACATAATTAGCGTAGCTGCTGTTCCAACCAAGCAAAATTTATTTGTTTAACCCAAACTAAAGAATAATAATGTGCATTTGATCAGATATAACTGCAGTACAAGATTATGATATGCATTATTTGAATGCTTGGCCAAAGAGATGGGTCTTTAATCTAGATTTAAACAGAGAGAGTGTGTCTGAACCCCGAACATTATCAGGAAGGCTATTCCAGAGTTTGGGAGCCAAATGCAAAAAAGCTCTACCTCCTTTAGTGGACTTTGCTATCCTAGGTACTACCAAAAGTCCAGAGTTTTGCGACCTTAGGGAGCGTGATGGATTGTAGCATGGTAGAAGTCTAGTTAGGTACGCAGGAGCTAACCCATTAAGGGCCTTATAGGCAAGTAATAATATTTTGTAACTGATACGGAACTTAATAGGTAGCCTATGATGTGGTTAATCAACTTGCCCGGTTAAAGTCACAAGCTGAAGAAAGATGTAAAATAGCTCAAAAACGACAACTAAGAAGCTACAACAAAAACCGACGAGAGATGTTCTTCAAAGAAAAGGACAGGGTCTGGCTAAAGAATTTCCCTCAGTCCAGTGCACAACAACATTTCAGTGCAAAACTAGCCCCTAAGTGGAAAGGTCCTTACCGTGTACTGAAGAAATTAGGTCCGCTGAATTATCAGATCGTGCTGGAAACAACAGGGGAGGATGTTCGAACAGCGCACGTTTGTAATTTAAAACCATGCTATCCAACGACTGAGGAGCTAGAGACATTGAAAAAGAGAAAACTCATTGAGATTTTTGAGCAGACCTCTGATGAAGATGAGGAATTTGGGGGTTTCTAAGAGAAACTCATACACATTACCTTTGCTGCCAACCATGGGGTATCAGGCCTGATACTGGTCTCCTGTACTCGTTCTCGTACTCGTTAAAATGCCTCAATACCAAACGCCGATACCACACAGCATGTGATAAGCTAGGGTGACCATATGTGCCATTTTCCCAGGACGCGTCCTGGCCAGGATTTCTATATTGCCTAAAATATCTAGGTTTTGGCTTTGTTTTCCTGTTTTCATGCTTGCTGAAGGTAATGATCGAAAAGTAGTTTGACCAATAACATGCAAGCATTGTACATAATGGACCAATTGTGGCGTGTGAGAAGGTGGGATCTACGGTCAAAGCGATGCAATTACGCGTACATATTAGGTGTGTTCGACTTAAAAGCAGTGTGGCTCAGACCGATCAGTGTTTGACATCAAAGTACCTCGAGAGCATTTCGAAAGCATAAACGTCTGTATGGTACTTTGATGTCATACACCGATCGGTCTGCACACGCAAACAAAGCCAAAACCTAGATATTTTAGGCAATATAGAAATCCTGGCCAGGACGCGTCCTGGGAAAATGGCATGTATGGTCACATTATGATAAGCGCCATATTCAAACAAAGAAACACAGACAACAGAACAACAGACAGCAGAAAGGAGTTAAGGCTGTCTACTACGAAGTATATGTATGCAATTAATATAATGTTAAACATTCAGTATTAACGCCTGTATAGCTGGTGTGCCTGAGCTGATAAACTAAGCACGCTGAGTGGATTGAGCGCACGATGCGCGATTTTGTCGAGTGAATATATCTTTCTCACAGACATCACTGGAAAGTTTGTAGTTCGGTCGGATATGTCAAAAACAAATAAGTAAAACAAGGCACAAGTTACTTAACAGTAGGGAGAGAGAGAGAGAGCGCGCGCAATTCTGTTGTGTGATCTTTGATGTTCACTCACTTACCACACGCATCATTTGGATTAAAATACATACACGACTTTCTGGCGAAAGTGAATCTAGCAGCCTGTGTGAAATGCGCTAGGCTGCACTACTGTCCTCTCATTCTGCACCAGTACAAATACCTGCATGTGTTGCGTGTGTTTTGCTTCATGAGTGTTTCTGCATTTACAAATGCAATAAAAATATCAGTATCGGTACTCGGTATCGGCAAGTACTCAAAATAAAAGTATCGGTATCGGGCGAGTACTGGAAAAAGTGGTATCGGTGCATCCCTAGTTGTTTGTCCCAGCGGGGGGGGGAGTGTGGCGGTGTAAGGAAGATCCACCCCTTCCGTGCCCATATCGGGATGGTGAACAATCAGGCGGAATTTATAAAAAGGAAGTAAGGATAGGAAAAAGAGAGAGATGGTAAACGCGGACTTCAAGAGGGAGTTGAGCAAGCCACACAATGGATGCGAGTCTCACCTGAGGAGTTGATCGGCAGGAGCGAGACGCACGCTGTATTTGGTCGGGGTGAGTGTGGAAATGTAGATCCACTGGCTGCAGAGAGTGTGACGAACTGCTGAAGGAACTCACAAGATTGCCATTCCATTGGGAAACGCTGCCTCCCACGGAACTTTTCCTTGCCAGTCGTCCTCTCATTCTGCACCAGTACAAATACCTGCATGTGTTGCGTGTGTTTTGCTTCATGAGTGTTTCTGCATTATATGAGTGGTTGTGTGTGAAGAGGAAAAAAAAGAATGAATTCGTTCAAACTGCTGTTTGTCTTCCATCATACAATGTGCAAGCAATCTATTTAGTTTTTTGTAACTGTGGTTTAAAATCTCCCTGAGCTATCACGGTATTTTGAAATGTATTTGGTGAATTTAGCATCAGAAATGTCGAGTTTAAGGTTGTTGGTTTAAGGCTTAATTTGTTCTGCCATTTTGCTCTTCAAAATAGGCACACATATTTTCAAACTGACTTATACGTAACAGCAACCAGATTTTGTTTTGTTTAAAGTTGGATTAAAAAATGAGGGCAATAACAGCACATTGTATTCGCAGCAGTACCACATTTAACATTTCAAATGTTGATGAGACGTGTCAGTGCGTTTGTAGTGATTTCCTGTACAATGTTTATTAGTAAATGAATTGCATTGAACTGCATATACAAGTCTGGATTTGTAATAATGTAATATACTGAGAAATGTCCGTCCATCAGTCCACAAATCAGTCCACATACAGTACATCAACTCAAGTCACTTGGCCAAGTGATGCAACAGAGAAACAATCAACTACAATAAATCTACCAGGAGGTTTTAAAAAATAAAAAATGGTTACATAAAATATACTGACCGCTATGATAGATGAGGCAAAACAGCAGAATCAGAAGATTGAAGCATCTGAACCTGATGAAAATACAGAACAGCTGTTATGTTTCATAGTGATGGCCGCTTTTGAAACACTGCTTCATGAAGCTTCGAAACTTTTGTGAATCAGTTGTTTCAAAACAGTGGTTCGGAGCGCGTATCAAACTGCCAAAGTCTCGTGATTTCAGTAAACGAGGCTTCGTTACATCATAACTGTTTCGAAACGTTTCGAAATTTCAATAGTTTGCCTTTGGGGGCGATCTCTGTGACTTCTTGATTCATGCGAGTTCATTGAGCTCGCCTCCCAGCGGTGAACTATTGATCTCGGATCTCGGATCAGTTTCATCAATTTGTAGACATTTTTAACGAGACATTTGTGTAATTAAAAGGATGAGTTGTAGTCTCTTACTGGCCTGTTTAAGCTCTCCATAAAACAAACAAAATAAGCCCTGCAACTTAATAATAATTATTTTAAAAACATATTACACAGACGCTTCCATATTTAATGGTATTTCATTATTTTGATTGCATTTAATATTATATTATACTTTCAAAAAAAGCATTTGCATTGGGTTTGCAAAAAGCAGTTTTTATGCATGTTTTAGCCTGAGTTTTTGTTGCATTTACACAGTTTTGACCAGCAGGCATCACCGGCGTGTGATGTTTCGAGCGCTTCGAAACAGTGGATCATTTTGCGAAGCAATTGGTTCAAGGGATTGGAAGCTTTGAAAAGGTTAGTTTCTCCCAGCACTAATGTGACGTAAAGGCACACATCACACAGACATTTATACAGTGATAAAATGTTTCCTGAGGGGAAAAATACTGGTCACAAAACAAGAATCTGAACCTTCGGTTCACTTTTATTTAAAGGTGCAGTGTGTACATTTTAGCAGCCTCTAGCAGTCAGGTTGAAAATTGCAACAAATGGCTCAGTGCCCCGCTCACCCCTCCCTTTAGAGAAGCTACGGTGGCCGACACAGGTAAAGATATCGTAGTCTGAGACAGCAGAGATTCTTTAAAAAAGTAAATTAAGGACTTATATTTACTTAATTATTCAATAAATCGACATGTTATTGCGAATATTATTGTTACTTGTTCATCATTGTCAGTGTTTTATTCGCAAGAACAACATAGTGACGAAACGCACTCTGTCCTTTAAGGGCTACTGTACAAACATGAAGGGGGTGTATGTAGATATGATTTGCTCATTCTAAATCAATAACAACATAACGGTTCATTAAACACCTCTGAAAACATAGTTATGTATATTATATTGCATTTTTGTCAATAGATCCTCCTAAATATTACACACTGCACCTTTAAAGACTCAACAAGTGGATCTTACACAATAAAATGTCCAATAAGAATCATCAAACTATTATCTGAACCTTTGGTTGATTTCAGACTCAAAATGATCTGTCAAACTCAAACGCTCAATGAACACAAACAGAAAGTTTATTCAATTCTCTAACCTACTACTAACCAATCCTCTCAGCAGAGTAATCAATGTAGACCAATTTAATAATTATAGTAATAACCCCACTAATAAAAAACATGATCTTAATCATCGTCGTCATAATCACACG